GACATATCACAGTGTCAGCTGGAAATGAAATATGATTTTTTTTTTTTGAAGGCCATAGAAATTAGAATAGAAAAATTGGAAATGAACCACCTTTTAATAAGTCAGCCGGTTATGCTAAACTAATCAGTTGCGATGCGTTATTGGGGGGGGGGGGGCGCAATGGTTGACATTATTATTATTTATTTATCTTTTCTGGGGTGGGGAGGGGTCCTTGAAAGTTTGACAGTTATTGACAGGGGTGGGGGGTGGGGGAAATTTCATAAAATTTGTTGAAATAAATTAATGAATAATTAGTAGATCTTTTCGTGAACGTGAATCAAAAATAAATCAAAACATCTAAATTGCACGCCAAAGGATGGTAATCTGATGTATATTTTCTTTTGAGGATGTAGGTTGACATGAAAAAAAACAACAACAAACAAGCTAACTGCAGGCCAATGTAGCAGCTGGAATAAAAGAGGCTACATTAGAGATTGGAATCGAACCCTCTTTTAGTTGTTGGGACTTGGGTTCGGTCTCCAGCAGGGTTGAGTTCGTAAAAGAAGCTTTCTACCACACAATAAAATAAATAAAGTAATAATTAAAAAATCAAATAATTTAATAATAATTATTATGTCACAAAAAACAAAATGTGTCACGGGTTATAACGCCGACTGTTTGGCCATCCAAGTGATTCCCATAATGTAAGCCATTCCTCATTGAATAGTTTTATATATTTCAGCCAAGCCTTTATTTGTGTGTATTATTTGATCGCTATTTCGAATTGTAGTTGTAGGAATTTAACAAAGGGCGCCTGGTGAACACATACATTTGGCAAGGGCGCGGCAGTCGAAAAATTATAGGAACATCTGACGTAGGAGGTGGGATACGTCACACGCACGATGAATTTACGGTAGGCTAAATATTACTGTAATACTGTTACTACTGGGTACTATTTGAACGATATCTAACGAGATCATTTGTTAAAGCAAAAGACCACATTATGACAATAATTCATACAAAACATTACTCATTACGTGATAGTGATATGTTTACTGTATTACATATAGGGCTATAAAAATGTTATTTTTAAAATTCATGTGTATTAATGCAGCATTTTTCAATAACTTTGTAGGTACTTTCTGCCAAGACACCACCCCTCCCGCCCCCAATAGGGGCAAACACACGCAAAATCCCCAAATTGACCACCCCTCCCCTTTTCTCTTTCAGTGGGCAGTGGGTGTATACTATATAAGTTAGACCAATCACAATAACTATATCAATATATGGATAGCCTCCAAGGTTCTCCAAAACTGTTTTGACCATAGTCTATAACTTAAGCCTATATAAATTATAGCCCTATCTATGCCTATGTCATGTATTATTATGAATATGAGTATGAGGTTTGGCCTCGTAAGCCATTTGGCGAAGTGTGTCAATAGATACTTTATCTTTTAATATAAATTTTCCTAATAAGCATAACTAATACAAATTAGAAGTGAAGTAATAAATATCATTGAAGTTAGCGCCCCCACAAACCTTCACAGCTCTTAAACCTAGTTCGTTTGGTTGGTGAAAATTATGAATTGGAAGAAGAAAAAAAAGTATCCCCGCCTCCTTATATGTTTACGATTTATTATTTCCGGAAGGTCAGAGGTTAGTTAATTAAGTATTTGATTGGCTGACTAAAATGACACTAGCCCGCAGGAGATAAGTATATTACGATGTGGTAGCGAAGGCTGTGGGAAGAAGGTAAATAATAATATTAAAGTTATGCTTGATATCTTTGTTTCTTTCAAAATTTGAGCGAAACATTGTGCATGGAACCAAGAGCTCTTCAGTTTTTCTTTGCGTTCTTCTATGATTGCATAGTATTTATGATTTAAAAGTATCTTATCAGTTGAGTTACTGCAGCCAGTTACTCCTCAGTCACAGTTTGAGTTTGAGTTTAATATTAAGTTTAAGTTTAGTAAACTTAGAGTTAGAGTAACTTCTTATTCTTAGTAATCTTAGAGTTAGACTTAGTACTTTGTCAGTATTTACTGCTACTAATTTAGTTCACTTACTTTTTAGTTAGACTTAGACCTCTTAATAATAGTAGTTGTAATTAACAGTAATAGTAGTAACAGTAAAGTAAGCGAAACTAAGTAAAAGTAAGTAAGTAACCCGCTAAGATTAAGATACTTAATTTAATTTTAATTACAGACTTTGGCTTAAATGTTTCCTTAAATCCTAGTCTAGTCACAATAAAATAACTCACAGACAATACAGACAATAGTAATAGTGTCAATAGTAATAGTTATAGCTACACCTAGACTAGTTGAATTTAAATTACTGAATCATTGAGATCGAGTCAGTGACAGTGTCATCGGACAAACTCAATCAATCATCAATCTGTAAAACTTCTAAGGTGACTAAGTTAAAGTACTAAGGCAAGGATTACTTCAATTTCACTCTTCAGTTACAAATCAAGTATGCCATATAAAATATAATTATAAAAATATAAAATATATCAACTACCACTTCAGCGGCGTCAGATGTTCAAAAATCGTGTTTCTCGGTTTAAGCAAACAGTGTTTGAGTTTATCATAGTTTTCCCCCCAGGGTAAAAATGAATTTTAAAGGCAATAAGAAGTGATAAGAGTACGGCAAGTACCAAACTGTCTTTCCAGTTTGTACTTCAAGCGCATCCACATATTTTCTACATTCTGAGAGTGGACACCAGTGACAGCGACATTTGAATTAACGAAGTTTTGTTCATGGGCCACAACAGACAGATTGTTCATAGATTTCATGTCTTATCTGATTTATGGTCGCACATTGGTCGGGCACTTCAGCAAGAAAATAGTGCCCACCCTCTTTTTCTATGTCAGTGAAAACCCACTGACTCTCTCTCCACTGTCCACCACAGTGGTATTTCCGATAAAATAGCACTTCAGACCCAAAAACACTATTTTAGAATTGCCGACGCTGGTGTGGTAGGTAAATACCCCCATAGCAGCCAATTTGTATTTTGAAATTTAGTTGGCCAAACCCCATCCCCTCTTTTTGCGTTTAATTCAATACTGGATACACATCAAAAATACTTTGACTAATGGCAAATCAACAGCAAATACTGCAATGAAGCAGCAACATGAGATAATGAGGGTGATAGCCCCTCTCAGACAGTTTTAGGGTTCACATAACATTATTTTAATATAAACTACAATATCTCTTTAGTCTTAACTGGCGTAATATTCAGAAATAGTTATATTCACAGGCCCATTGCTGCTTGCTGATTCCTGGCTCACAGATAACTTCATAAACTTGAAAATTAATTATAATTACTCTAAGTGTTAAATTTTAGGTGAGTCCATTGTTAGTGGTTTTCTACTTTTTTATCTTGCGAAATACTGTAATTATTATTAAAATTCTTTAAGATACCATATAAAAAAATCATTGCAAAAATAGTTTGTGTGGTCAGAGAAAATTAAAGTTATTAAATTAGATTGATAAAAGCTTATTATGAATGACCATAAAATTTGTAGAGTCCGAAAAACCATTTGCATTGATTTTTATAAGTGTAATGAAATCGTTTGTCCCACTTTGAAGCCTCTTCCACACACCAATTCAAAACTACTTATTTTGTTGATTGTTTAAAAAAAAACAACTAGTATACATGATTAATTGACACGTTGAATAGAGAAAAACGATTATACATGATTATTTGAAAAGCTAATGTACTTGATTATGAGACATTTTTAATACATAGGGAGACTAGGCACTTTGCCTTTGTGATCAGTTAATTAGAAGTATTTGAAATTCAAAAGCATTGGGGGGAGGGGGGGCACATCTGGCCAGTGTAAAAATCATTAATCATCTACAACTAAAAGATTTATTTACTATAAATTGTCATTAAAAAATTGTAAATGTGCAGTATTCTCCCCAACAATGATTTAGTCAGTCATATTGTGACTAGTTGTAACTAGAGTGTGGCAGTGTAAAATATTTTTTATTTATTTAAGAAGAAGAGTCCAAAAACAGTTTGCTTTATTAACCCTTAGAAATGGCAACAGCGATTTGGAGCCCAGCAGGCAGATGTTGTTTGCCTATTTTAAAAAAGGTTTGTTTTTTCTTATTCATATTGTTGGTCCAAATCCCTTATTAAACAATTTTAGTAATTAAATTGAAATAGACTTGTTCCAGCTTCAACTTCAATGAATGCTTTTTTCTTTTGTGACAGACTAAGTAGCTATTAAACCTTGATTTTTTAAATGAGGTTTTAATCTATGTGAAGTATTTTGGTTTTTCTATTTGAATGAATATAATTTCTAGTGGTGTTATTGTTTTTTGGTCTCTTAAAATGTAACAAAATAAGCTGTTTCATACAAAATTAATTTGCCCATAATTAATTTTTTCATACCAAAGCAATTGTAGTTTTCTCACAAGCTTTACACCAACACCATTGATTTATAATTATGAAACAATGATTATAGCCACCACTTTTTGGTACTGATCTCCAGCATATGCCGCTATTGTTTGCCTCACGCCATGAGAGCAGCCTGCCACCACTGAAAACGGAGAAACTTAACCACAACATTCAGCTACGTACCATTCAAGAAACTTCAAAATCTCCGCGGCCACTTGTGTTGCTATTTGGTTGGATGTTGGCCAAGCAGCGCCATCTGGACAAATATGGCAATCTTTATCACAGCAAAGGTTTTGATGTGCTCAGTGTACAAGTGAGTTTTATAATATATTTCCACTTCCCTATAAAATGCCTGTATTTGTTAATTCAAATTATATTTATAAGATAAATAATAAAAACAAAAATGCTTCTATAACTCCTAATTTTGTTCTGCCATAAGTAAAACATTTGGTGTTAACTATTAGAGCTTTGAAAAATGTAAGGATTTCCCCTCAGATTAGCAAAATAAAGACTACTCAAAATTAATTTCTACAAAAAGCCAGTAGAATGAATTTTAAAAATCTACAAATCAAACTTTGATTCAAATTAATTGAAATTTAACCTCTACAATCCAGATGAAACCCACTCAAGTTTTGATTCCAACACAAGCTCAAAAAACAATGGAAGAACTCTTAAACATACTTCAACAGAAAAGCTTAAATGAGAAACCACTAATGGTCCATGGTTTCTCTGTGGGAGGATATATGTATGGAGAGCTGCTTATCAAACTGAAAGAAAATGCTGAAAAATATCAGAATGTGAGAAGAAGAATGGTTGGCCAGATTTTTGACAGCCCTGTTGATTATGAAGGCGTGGCCCCAGGCTTTGCTTCAGTTCTGGTAAAAAACAAAGTTGGCCAGAAGATACTGAAAAATGCCCTAGAAGCTTATTTGGCCACTTTTAAAAAAACAATCACATGTCATTACATCAAATCTTCAAATGCCTTTCATAAGAATGAATTACGACTGCCATCTCTGCTGCTTTATTCCAGGTCGGATCCTATTGGTGTAGATACAAGAATAGAAATGGTAAGTTATCATCAGTAGCCCTAATCCTATTGGTGTAGATACAAGAATAGAAAAAAAGAAAAGTTATTTGATCACATAAAAAATAATCAAATGACTTGGTACTAAAACCCATAGCATTTATTTAAAGTATGATTTTTGTTAGATATAGTTCACATGTATGTTAAACTAACAAGTTTTCATCAATTGATGCTGTGAGATGATCAAATCACTGGCTTGTGATGACTTGACAAGGTTAAAAGCTACTTGTGAAGAATAAATTTAAAAAAAAAACCCAACTAACCCAAGCTAAAGTGAAATGTAAGAGAGCTAGCACTGATTAAGTGCATGTATCGAATCAGTGTGATGTTCCAAGGTCAATCATCAGGAATGTCCTTGTTAAAAGACAGGTAGTTTAGTAGTTGTAAGTTCTTGTACTGTTACTAGCGTTAGAATTAAAAATGCAGATTAAAGGATTTTATCAGATGACCTACTCTGTTGTGAGACTATCTTTGACCTACTGACCTTGTAAGATAGCTTGTCATTTTTTTTTTAAATTTGGACTAGTGATAGTTTTAGAGATGAAATGTCACAAAGATAGTTATTTTTTGTCAGTAATTGAGAAGAATAACAGCTAATGGTTAAAGTGATCTTATACTGGCCAAACAATGGTATTATATTGATGAACACTTTTGAAAAATTAGGATCAAGAGAAGGAAAATGGCAATTAATATTAAAAAAATAAAACTGTGTGGCCCCATGACACTGTGGTACTCTTGATGAGGATGATTGAGAACCTTCATAACGCTTGTGTCCATGCTATTTTAGCATTCTCACAGAGCTCTGATGTCCTAAAATCTATTTAAAGAAAAAATTCTTTAAATGTTTATTATATGACTTTTTATCATTTGCAATGTCCCTCAAAGATTGAGGCAAACTGTTCCATAATTTAGGCGCACAAGCTTCAAAAGAGCGTACTCAGTATGACTTCTTCCTGTGCCCATCCACACTGGGAACACAGTAAGGACTGTGTTGAAGAGCGCAGGTTCTTTATGGATGTTTAGAAATCAGTTTGTGAAGATATATTATACAGGTGCAGAGCCTTCTATACAGCTATACGACAGAGACAAACACTGTGTGGACCCTGTGGCACAGTGCCAGTTTTGCCTGTCTCAAAACCAAAAGGTATTGGGTTTGAATTTGTCTAGGGTTGTCTCCAGGTATGGGAAAATTTGCAGGTGGAATGGTCTTGTCAGCCCAGCCAGGCAGCTATTTTTGGGGAGGAGGTAAGCCCGGAGTAAAAGACTCAAACACCAATACCAAAAGATAGCAGCCACCTTGGCGTGGAATATAAAATCAGCTGTATACACAATCCCAGACCTGTTTACTCTAACGATTTTGGCGTTCAATGTACGATTTTGGCCTACAATGTACGGTTTTTAGGTGTATACATTATATATACTGCACATTTTTTTTCTATACAGAGAATGTATTGAACGATTATGTGATGATATTGTAAGATTTTAGGAGTTTGGGGGTAAACAGGTCAGCAATCCTCCCAAAATAAACATAATGAGGATAGGTGTAAAAAAAATAAACACTTTAAACAAAAATTAAAAATTATCTTATCGATGAAGAAATTCAATTTTTTAAACACAGCTTGTTTTTTTAGAAAATATTTAAAAAATTTGAGCATCATATTTCTTTGACTTTAATGTTTGCATAAAATGTATCAAATATCATTACATGAATATAATTTAAAGTGTTACAGTTCCAAAAAGATATTGAGTGACTTGTTTGTGTTCTATCTTCATAATGAGATAATTTGATCTCCTAGGTCATGAAAAGTTGGAGGTCTCAGGGCATATCAGTGATGACTCGATGCTGGGAAACTTCACCTCATGTCAGCCATTTCCATCGTCATCCTGATGAGTACATTGAAGCCATCTTGAAATTCTTGAACAGTGTTGGGCTTACTAAAACTGAAACTCCAGCCCTCAAGAGAAAAGCAGGGACCAAAATACAGAAAGAAGTCCAACAGGCAATTTGAAAACTCTACACCACAGCTTGGGTACTTTTAAAGTTTTGTGAAATTCCCTAGAAAAAATAAACTAAATAGAAAACATTTTAGAGATTATAAAATGACACAATGAAGATTCATTTAAATACAATTTTTAGCTGAGCTTAGCAATTATTTAGGTTATTAAAGATATAAAAGTTAGTCGCAGATTTCAAGCTATTGAAAATGAATTATAAGATAATTTATTGGGATGAAAAATACCAGCCATTTTATAGCCGATATAGCTTATTGTAAATATTTGGTAGGTTAATTTTTTTTAGAAATTCCTGTTGCCTTCTTTTGCAGTTTTAACAAAATTATTTTTTAAAAAAATAAAAAAGGTAACTAGATTTAATCTGAAATTTCCATAACTTGTTTCCTTATTTTTTTATTTTGGCTAAATATTTGAGCATTCCAATGTTTACATAGACAGTTGTCATAAATTGTAAAGCATGGGATGACTAATAGAGCAAGTCTGAATTTTCCCATAGGCTATCTACTAGGGATCTGATGACTAAAAAAGCAAGTCTGAAGTTTTCCCATAGGCTATCTACTAGGGATCTGATGACTAAAAAAGCAAGTCTGAAGTTTTCCCATAGGCTATCTACTAGGGATCTGATGACTAATAGAGCAAGTTTGAAGTTTTCCCATAGGCTATTTACTAGGGATCTGATGACTAATAGAGCAAGTTTGAAGTTTTCCCATGGGCTATTTACTAGTGGTCTGAATGATTACTGACTGTAATCTAAAATAATTATCAGTCGTAAGATATTGAAATATTGATTTCTGATGTCACATTATTGACGTTCTGTTAACAAAATCCTTGACTCCAAGTTGAGCCCGCAAATAATCATCCATAGAAAATATTCACACAAAAAAATTCATTACTACTTATACTTATTATACTTATTTTTGGTCATACAGTGTAAGACCAGTAATTTTTTTACTACTTTTTGTACAAATATTTGTGAAATTAATGGTGACTAATTTTTAATGACTTAAAAGTCATTGGCATTATATTTATTGTCATTATTTCATTTTAGTTCGCTTATATATGGAATCTGTTTATAACTGCTTGGAAATCTATAACGTTCCCTCTGTTGTACATTCTTACACCATTAGTGCTTAGTGATTATAAGAAATATCAATCAGATAATTATTTCATAAGTAATAAAGGCTGTTTTAAAAAAAAAAAAAAACTTGTGTTGTAAAGAAATATCAAACTCAAAGCTCTAACTAAACCTTATAATTCTGAACTAGTCTATAATAAATGAAACTGCTACGATGATCTTGTTTTTATTAAACTTCATTTTTTCGTTCACTTAGCAACCTGGATTCCATTAATTAATTAACTGTGATTTTCAGTTATTTTACATTGTTCACTTTTGAGTCTTGTTTATATTGTTCACTTTTTCCATTATATATTTGACATGTTCACTTGCAATAGGTTTACAAGATAATGGTTTAGAAAATGTTAATTTTGAAAATACATATGAAAACATTCTTCCTGATATCAATTTAGTATTCTAACCATCTCTCACAAACTAAGTCTAGTAGCTATTCTGTGATTACAATTTTTTGTGTGTGCAGAACTCTTTCAATCTAGTCCCCAGGTGACAGGAAGGTGTTTCAATAACAAACAACCAAATGCTTTTCTTATACAAGCTAATAAAAAAAGTGCAATTAATTATTATTTTTTAGGAAGATTGGGAAATCTCTCATAGTTGAATAGGAGGAATTTATGAGCCCAATTGGCTAGTATTAATATTTTTTTCACTTCAAACTTTGTTGTGGTTTTTTTACATTTGAAATAACTGATTTTTCTGATTACCTCTTTTGATGTAACTTTTTCATTGGCTTAGAATTTAATGTTTTAAAATGTGAGCACTAAACAATTCTAATTGGACATGATTGATTTGTGACCATTTTTTTTTACAGTTAATTTTTGTAGCATCTATCATCTATATTCTAGGTGGATTCACTATTCACTATGGATTTAATTAGTTCTTTTGTAAAAAAAGAAACTTCAATAGAAGTGTGTTTGAAAAAATTTCTTTCATATAAATTTCTGGTAGCCCTATAGACTAACGTAAAAATTGCTACAACGTAGCATCATCAAACCTTAAATAAAAAAATTTGAGATGTTCATTGCAAAGGTAAAAAAAAAAAAATTTTCCCTACCCATTTTTATTGTTTAAAAGACTAAAAAATTAAAACTTATCACACAATTGAGTCTGATGCTGAAGAAATATTTCCTATCCCGTCTGTAAAAAAAGTGTTGTAGCTTTTAAGATTTTTTTATTCTTGTTGAAATTTATATAGCTCTGTTGTTTTATTTATTGTTGATGTTTGGTTTAATAAATTAATTTGATTGTTCCATACATTTTTTTTTTTGTAGGAATAACGAAACATTCTCTAGATATGTTTCTGCAACAAAAGTAGTAAATGAACAGTTGTTCAATTCGTGATTAATGGTGTAGGAGCCAAGTAATGGCTAAATGTTTTTGAAAGTCCTTTAATGTAGCAACATCATTTTAATAGGCAAATGTATTATTTTCACCCAAAAAAATAAAATAAATACTTTTAGCAATCCTAGATTAAGAATTTGAGTGCATGTTTTCTTTTATTTTCACCTATCAAATTTACTTCAATTCGAGAATCTTTTGACAATCCCTTCAATTATTTTATGTAAAATGTTAATATTTTTGTTTATTTGTATTTCTTTTTGTTACCGGTATCTAATGCTTTTTGAAAGAGAAAGCAGTTAAATTTTAAGATGCTTAGGACTAAGCCATTTTCATGTTTGCTTGGGTAAGTTTTTGTAATGCCAAACTTGTAAATAGTCTTGACAATATATTTTTTTTTATAAATGTTCCATTCACTTTGTTTACAATGTAAATACATAAACATTGCCAGAGGTAATACATTAATTTGTGATTATTTTCTACTTATGAAAACAGACAGAAATTTCAACAGGTGATATCAAAAGACAACATTGTCAGCCACCAAATCTCCATTTGTCTCTTGTTTTAAAGAGACTGAAATGTGCCATGTCCCCTACATGAAATAATAAATTAATTAAATGTTAATTAGAGATAAATTAATGAATGTGTGGTGTAAACTCAGGGGAAGCAACTTTAGCGTTATTTAAGACAATAAATAGAAGTTTCAAGTTCTTTACCCTTGAATGTTTGTTCCAGATAAATACTATGTCAATGATGCCCAAACTTCAATCCTGTATGGTTCAAAATATTCACTGTGCAATTTTTAAAGTGTCCACATATTTTGGTCATGCCTTCTGATTTAAAAAAATTTTTTTTGTTTTTACAGGAGCAAATTTTGTTTTAGCAGAATTTTTTAAACCGGTTGCATTATGTCGAAACACCATTAGTTAAATTTGTCCATGTATGTGTTCACCAACAATCAGTCAATCTGTTTAGTGAAGTAAAATTTGTCCATTTATGTGTTGTTGACCAGCAATCAGTAAATCAGTTTAGTAATCAATGTCTCCACAGTCCTTACAACAAACACCTATTGATTCATCTAAAGTCCACCACAGAGATTGCCAGCTTTCTGGTCTCAAGGGTTGTCAGAGATTGCCAGCTTTCTGGTCTCAAGGGTTGTCAGAGCTTTGTTCACATTTCTTGCAAGGGTAATTGTTTGAACAGAGTCTCAGAAATCCTTTACTCTTTCCTTATAGTTGGACTCATTAGGTTTATAGGTTTTATTTTTATTAAGGCAGTAAAGAAACACTTTTAACACAGGATTCAATGACTAGATGATTTATTATGACAAGAGAGTGCAGTCAAACAACATGTTGTGTTGGACTCTTGGAGTTCAACATGTTGTGTTGGACACTAGGAGTTTAATTTAACATGTTGTGTTGGACACTTGGAGTTTAATTTAACATGTTGTGTTGGACACTTGGAGTTTAATTTAACATGTTGTTTTGGACACTTGAAGTTTAATTTAACATGTTGTGTTGGGCACTTGGAGTTTAATTTAACATGTTGTGTTGGACACTTGGAGTTTAATTTAACATGTTGTGTTGGACACTTGGAGTTTAACATGTTGTGTTGGACACTTGGAGTTTAATTCATTGACTGCTGTAAGTTAACAAGGCGGCAAGATATCTTTTGTTTAAAAATCCATCCACAGAATGATTGCTCTCCCCTAGATGCCCTTGTGTTTGTGTCATGAACCAAGTGTCACATCAGTAAACATTATAGATGACGTCTATCTCTGACACATCAGTAAACATTTGGATGGCTTCTACCTGTAACAGCAGTGGGCAAAACACATAACTTATAAATCATAAACTTATAAACCTTTTTTTTTTTCTTTTTTTTTAAATTTAAAAAAAAAAATTTTTTTTTATTAATCAAAATCATTCAATACATATACAGAGTAAACTAAAATAATTACAGGAACATTTAGCGAAATTTTAACTGAACAAAATTTTTAAATTATAATAGTGTGAACTAAATTAAACATTTGTTTCCATTATGAATTTTTAAACATGATGTCTAAAAGAATTGGAATGATAAAAAAAATATTTGTAATCCACTTGTCTTTTTTTTTTTTTTTTTTAACAGAAAATAATATAATTTAAGGTAATTTATTGAGAGGGTGTCTGAAATCAGAGATATTGACTTACTTTTAATATTGCGTCCCTAGTACTGAAAAATAAAAGATAAAAATAATAAATGCCTTCTTTCAGTCACCATGATTAGATGATAATGGATGCTCTGGTTTCCATTAAAGTCATCTCCCTTTGTCCTAGCGAAACACAACTGGTCTTGGAATAAAATTAGCAGTCCTAGAATATAGGTGTAAAATTTTTCATTGGGAAAGAAAAAAAAAAAGGACAAGTGAGCCACATTTGAACATATTTTCATATATTCTTTATGTTACTTGTTGACATTGGTAGGGGGTTGCTACAAGCAGATTGCTGTACTTGTTGACATTGGTAGGGGGTTGCTACAAGTAGATTGCTGTACTTGTTGACATTGGTAGGGGGTTGCTACAAGTAGATTGCTGTACTTGTTGACATTGGTAGGGGGGTTGCTACAAGTAGATTGCTGTCATCATTTTATCAAATGTGTTTTTTTTAGAAAAGTGATGGGGGGTTGAATGAAACAGGTTGAATTGGTTTCTTCTTGTAGATGAGCTTTTTACAGGGTAATAAACAAGTTGCACCTGGAGGTTGTTGTTCTCTCGTTTGTTGAAAATAGTTTTATTGTTTGCTGATTGATCTTGTGTTGACCCCATCAGTTCACCACACCAGGTGACCCCATCAGTTCACCACACCAGGTGACATCATGAGTTCATAGCAACAGGCGACCCCATCAGTTCACAGCAACAGGTGACCCCATCAGTTCACAGCAGCAGGTGACCCCATCAGTTCACAGCACCAGGTGACCCCATCAGTTCACAGCACCAGGTGACCCCATCAGTTCACCGCACCAGGTGACCCCATCAGTTCACAGCACCAGGTGACCCCATCAGTTCACAGCACCAGGTGACCCCATCAGTTCACAGCACCAGGTGACCCCATCAGTTCACCGCACCAGGTGACCCCATCAGTTCACCGCACCAGGTGACACAAACCCTAGTGATGTCGCAGTTTGTAAAAGTTGGTAGATGTTATCATGAACGTGAGAGTTTGAAAAGATGTTTGGTTACCTGTTGTATTGTTGACAACGATTGTCTGATTTGTTACTCTCGGTTATATCAATTTACAATATTGTTAACATAAGGATCAACATGTGTTTAGCATACGTTCCTTCTGTACACAGGAAATATTCCATCAAATATGTCAACATAATTCTCCTTACTTAATGCCAGTGATTTTAACAACCACAAATCCAATCTCAGTTGTTAAGTCAAAGTGAAAATCCAATCTCAGTGGCTAAGTCAAAGTTCAAATCCAATCTCAGTGGCTAAGTCAAAATGGAAATCCAATCTCAGTGGCTAAGTCAAAGTGCAAATCCAATCTCAGTGGGTAAGTCAAAGTGAAAATCCAATCTCAGTGGCTAAGTCAAAGTTCAAATCCAATTTCAGTGGTTAAGTCAAAGTTCAAATCCAATCTCAGTGGCTAAGTCAAAGTGGAAATCCAATCTCAGTGGCTAAGTCAAAGTGCAAATCCAATCTCAGTGGGTAAGTCAAAGTTCAAATCCAATCTCAGTGGCTAAGTCAAAGTTCAAATCCAATTTCAGTGGCTAAGTCAAAGTTCAAATCCAATCTCAGTGGCTAAGTCAAAGTTCAAATCCAATCTCAGTGGCTAAGTCAAAGTGCAAATCCAATCTCAGTGGCTAAGTCAAAGTGGAAAATCAATTTCAGTGGCTAAGTCAAAATGCAAATCCAATCTCAGTGGCTAAGTCAAAGTGCAAATCCAATCTCAGTGGTTAAGTCAAAGTTCAAATCCAATCTCAGTGGTTAAGTCAAAATGCAAATCCAATCTCAGTGGCTAAGTCAAAGTGCAAATTCAATCTCAGTGGCTAAGTCAAAGTTCAAAGCCAATATCAGTGGCTAAGTCAAAGTTCAAATCCAATCTCAGTGGTTAAGTCAAAGTTCAAATCCACTCTCAGTGGCTAAGTCAAAGTTCAAATCCAATCTCAGTGGCTAAGTCAAAGTTCAAATCCAATCTCAGTGGCTAAGTCAAAGTTCAAATCCAATCTCAGTGGCTAAGTCAAAGTTCAAATCCAATCTCAGTGGCTAAGTCAAAGTTCAAATCCAATCTCAGTGGCTAAGTCAAAGTTCAAATCCAATCTCAGTGGCTAAGTCAAAGTTCAAATCCAATCTCAGTGGCTAAGTCAAAGTTCAAATCCAATCTCAGTGGCTAAGTCAAAGTTCAAATCCAATCTCAGTGGCTAAGTCAAAGTTCAAATCCAATCTCAGTGGCTAAGTCAAAGTTCAAATCCAATCTCAGTGGCTAAGTCAAAGTTCAAATCCAATCTCAGTGGCTAAGTCAAAGTTCAAATCCAATCTCAGTGGCTAAGTCAAAGTTCAAATCCAATCTCAGTGGCTAAGTCAAAGTTCAAATCCAATCTCAGTGGCTAAGTCAAAGTTCAAATCCAATCTCAGTGGCTAAGTCAAAGTTCAAATCCAATCTCAGTGGCTAAGTCAAAGTTCAAATCCAATCTCAGTGGCTAAGTCAAAGTTCAAATCCAATCTCAGTGGCTAAGTCAAAGTTCAAATCCAATCTCAGTGGCTAAGTCAAAGTTCAAATCCAATCTCAGTGGCTAAGTCAAAGTTCAAATCCAATCTCAGTGGCTAAGTCAAAGTGCAAATCCAATCTCAGTGGTTAAGTCAAAGTTCAAATCCAATCTCAGTTGTTAAGTCAAAATGCAAATCCAATCTCAGTGGCTAAGTCAAAGTGCAAATTCAATCTCAGTGGCTTAGTCAAAGTTCAAAGCCAATGTCAGTGGCTAAGTCAAAGTTCAAAGCCAATATCAGTGGCTAAGTCAAAGTTCAAATCCAATCTCAGTGGTTAAGTCAAAGTTCAAATCCACTCTCAGTGGCTAAGTCAAAGTTCAAATCCAATGTCAGTGGCTAAGTCTAATCCAATCTCAGTGGCTAAGTCAAAGTTCAAATCCAATCTCAGTGGCTAAGTCACAGTGCAAATCCAATCTCAGCTGTTAAGTCAAAGTTCAAATCCGATTTCAGTGGCTAATTCAAAGTTCAAATCCAATCTCAGTGGCTAAGTCAAAGTTCAAATCCAATCTCAGTGGATAAGTCAAAGTTCAAATCCAATCTCAGTTGTTAAGTCAAAGTTCAAATCCAATCTCAGTGGCTAAGTCAACGTTCAAATCCAATCTCAGTTGTTAAGTCAAAGTTCAAATCCAATCTCAGTGGCTAAGTCAAAGTGCAAATCCAATCTCAGTGGATAAGTCAAAGTTCAAATCCAATCTCAGTTGTTAAGTCAAAGTTCAAATCCAATCTCAGTGGCTAAGTCAAAGTTCAAATCCAATCTCAGTGGCTAAGTCAGAGTTCAAATCCAATCTCAGTTGTTAAGTCAAAGTGCAAATCCAATCTCAGTGGTTAAGTCAAAGTTCAAATCCAATCTCAGTTGTTAAGTCAAAATGCAAATCCAATCTCAGTGGCTAAGTCAAAGTGCAAATTCAATCTCAGTGGCTTAGTCAAAGTTCAAAGCCAATGTCAGTGGCTAAGTCAAAGTTCAAATCCAATCTCAGTTGTTAAGTCAAAATGCAAATCCAATCTCAGTGGCTAAGTCAAAGTGCAAATTCAATCTCAGTGGCTTAGTCAAAGTTCAAAGCCAATGTCAGTGGCTAAGTCAAAGTGCAAATCCAATCTCAGTGGTTAAGTCAATGTTCAAATCCACTCTCAGTGGCTAAGTCAAAGTTCAAATCCAATCTCAGTGGCTAAGTCAAAGTGCAAATCCAATCTCAGTTGTTAAGTCAAAGTTCAAATCCGATTTCAGTGGCTAAGTCAAAGTTCAAATCCAATCTCAGTGGCTAAGTCAAAGTGCAAATCCAATCTCAGTCGATAAGTCAAAGTTCAAATCCAATCATAGTTATTAAGTCAAAGAGCAAATCCAATCTCAGTGGCTAAGTCACAGTTCAAATCCAATCTCAGTGGCTAAGTCAAAGTGGAAATCCAATCTCAGTGGATAAGTCAAAGTTCAAATCCAATCTCAGTTGTTAAGTCAAAGTTCAAATCCAATCTCAGTGGCTAAGTCACAGTTCAAATCCAATCTCAGTTGTTAAGTCAAAGTTCAAATCCAATCTCAGTGGCTAAGTCAAAGTGCAAATCCAATCTCAGTGGATAAGTCAAAGTTCAAATCCAATCTCAGTTGTTAAGTCAAAGTTCAAATCCAATCTCAGTGGCTAAGTCAAAGTTCAAATCCAATCTCAGTGGCTAAGTCAGAGTTCAAATCCAATCTCAGTTGTTAAGTCAAAGTTCAAATCCAATCTCAGTGGCTTAGTCAAAGTTCAAATCCAATCTCAGTTGTTAAGTCAAAGTTCAAATCTAATCTCAGTGGCTAAGTCAAAGTGGAAATCCATTCTCATTGGCTAAGTCCAAGTTCAAATCCAATCTCAGTGGCTAAGTCAAAGCTCAAATCCAATCTCAGTGGCCAAGTCAAAGTTCAAATCCAATCTCAGTGGCTAAGTCAAAGTGCTAATCCAATCTCAGTGGCTAAGTCAAAGTGCAAATCCAATCTCAGTGGTTAAGTCAAAGTTCAAATCCAATCTCAGTGGCTTAGTCAAAGTTCAAATCCAATCTCAGTTGTTAAGTCAAAGTTCAAATCCAATCTCAGTGGCTAAGTCAAAGTGGAAAATCACTCAGTGGCTAAGTCAAAGTTCAAATCCGATTTCAGTGGCTAAGTCAAAGTTCAAATCCAATCTCAGTGGCTAAGTCAAAGTGAAAAT